AATTTAATTACCATAGTTTCATTGTAGCACTAGAGATAATAAAACTTTAAAACATACAATATATTTTTTAATATTTTTCATATATTTTTATATCTTTTTAATCTTAACATGTTTCAGAAGAATGAGGATGGCATAATGTAATGCTGAAACATGTTAAGATTAAAAAAAATATATATTGTATTTTTTAAAGTTTTATTAAAACAAATTTAGTTGGTGTTAGCTCTTGCAACARCAATAATACYATTCTCYCTGTCGAATCCAGTCGTTCTGCTTACTATCAGTGTCGCTATCTTGGTTGGTGTGCAAAATGTTGAGACTTGGATTMAGTGTGACGTCGAAATAATTGCCACATTTATGTGACGCTCGTTCACACGGGAAATTATCGATATGTGACAATTACATAAAAACTAGCATGCCAACTTTCCAGTAACTACAGTTGTCACATAAAATTTGTCCAATTTTGCTCATCTACCACGGGCAATTAAAAATTGTCACATAAAAATTGCTCATCTAGACGGGGCTTAATTCACAGGTCTGAAGTTCAAGACTCAGAGGAGCTGACATTTCTTTAGATTTCTTTCTTTAACAAAAAATAAATAAATTCAATCAAATATAGAACAGGGAACCCGGTAACGGCAACTTAATGAAAAAATTAATAGAGAACAATGAGAATAAATAAATAGTTTTGAACACAAGTAACGCAGGCTCAAGTTTACAGGAAAGTGAGTGAGTGAGTGAGTGTCAGATTCGTCCCCCTCCAATAACTCTTCGATTGCTTCGCAATCTTCGAGTTAAAAATGGAAACAACAAGCGCAAAAAGTCATGAAATTGATACAAATAAAGGAAGGCCATGAAAGCTACTGCCTTTGAAAGCAACCTTTAAAACTCATTCAACCTAGGAATTATTTTATATCAACTGAAAGTACAACAGAAACAAATAATAAATAAATAAATAAATAAATATCCAGCAGCAAGTGTAGTCCCGTGGGAATTTCAGGCTGCAAGCATTTCAGGCATTTCAGTATGTTGTTGGGACCTTACTGAACAAAAAAAAAATGTTGGCACTTTTGTAGGTCGCACCGAGCTGAATTAGGGGGATTTTAGAATGATATATATTCCACAGCATGGAAACGAGGCTCTGAAACTAAAATGGTCATAACTCCTATTTTCAGCGGTCTCTCCCATACACTATAAAAGGGAGATACGAGAATACAATCGAGGACATTTGAGCAGGTTCCACAAGTTCCACAGGTTCCACAAATTCCCCAGGTTCCTCAAGTACCTCAAGCTCAAGTTCAACCTGGACAGGCCGAGGATGCGGAACCGGCTGTTTTACCTCAGCCTGCAGACCACCAGGACGAGTTAAACCTTGAGGTTTGTGAATTTTCGTTTATCCTGTCGTTTCCCTGTACTATGTCGTTTACTTATGTCGCCTTCAGTATTCTTGTGTATATCGTCCACGGCCGGTACTTGCACTGTTTATTTCAAATAAGACGGTTTATTTGGTTTTTATCGTTGCTTTTACTTAGGTCATTAGGCTGTTTATATTATTTACGTCGTCCCTTATTTGCTTTGACATGTTGTACCATGTGCTCGTCAACCCTGTTCAATAAGCTTAGCTAACCCTTCAGCCTGCTGCGGGTTTCTTTTGCTTTTGGCTTAATAGTATTTGGCTCCCCTTGTCTCTTTCTCGTTCAATTTTTTATTTCAAACTTTTCCCCTCGTGGCGTATTCGCGTTGTACTACATTTTCCCGTGTTTGGACCTTTGAATACCAACGCCGATTCCAATGTGTCGTAATTTGCAGGTATTGTCATATTTTGCCCTGTTATGGAATTTACTGCCTTGGTTATAYTCGCCGTTACAAATAGTTCTAGTACTGATATTTAAATTGCCTTGATATTGAACGTAGTGCCTTTGGCTTTGCAGGCATTGATATTTATAATATTTGTATGGATGAAATAATTACATTGATTTTGCCTTGCTGTCATCGTCGTGGTATTTATACCAATGACCGGATCTCCATATTCATTGTGAGGTAATTGGCTAAGTACTCTTTTTATTTCATGTCATGTTAGGCCCCGGTCGCACTAGAGTTGAGGCGAAATATCTGTCGAGAAAAAATTTAGATTCACTTTTATTTTTAACCGGAAATCAAAAGAAAATTGTCTTGTGTGTAGGGTCGCACTGACACTTGCAAACTAAATCATCRTGACWGTGATCGAAATCAGAACACCAATTATATCTTTGGGTTTCGCGCCACAATTCATAAACAATGCGTACGGTCGAAGCACTCGACGAGATAAAGGTGCAGAACGGCCAGSTCTGGTATTTACCTCACTTCGGAGTCTACCACCCTAAGAAGCCCACTCAGATCCGCRTGGTGTTTGATTCATCTGCGGAATTTGACAATATATCTCTTAACAAAAAGCTGCTTTCCGGCCCCGACCTGGCAAATAGTCTGCTGGGCGTCCTTATACGCTTCAGACGAGAAAATGTTGCAGTCATGTGCGACATTGAACAAATGTTCCACTCGTTTCACGTGAGTCCCAAACACCGCGACTTTGTGCGCTTCCTTTGGTTCGAGGACAACGACCCGGAGAAACCGATTATCGAGTACCGGATGAATGTTCACCTATTCGGTAGTGGACYGAGTCCACCAGTCGCAACGTATGGACTTAGAGCAACATCAAACAACAGCGAGGATGCCAACGAAAAAGTCAARRMCYTYSKTWAMMRRAAWWTTT